GACGATGTCAGCTATATATATATATATTCTATATACAATATATATATATATATTATATACCCGATATATCGCGTGGGGAGATCTCGGCTTGACATTGGCAAGAAGGGAAGCCCGCCAAGTGACCGGCAAACCGGCAGAGCAAGTGCCGTAATCCGAGACATTCGAGAGATACCGCCACCGATCTGGGCATCTTCACAGCTGCATCATTCAAATGTGTCGGCATATTTATATATATATATATATATATATATCTGTATATGGGGGAAAAAGCAAAAAGAAAAATAACAGGAAGTAATCAGTCTCCTTTGCATGTGAACGATTTACAATAAATAATTATGATAGGTCGCTGGTGTTGCTGTTGCTACTGTTGTTGCTGTTGCTGTTGTTACTGTTGCTGCTGTTGCTGCTGTTGCTGCTGATGCTGCTGATGCTGGTGGCAATGTCGGAGATGAATCTCGGGCAATGACACAGCCAAAGCGACAGGAAGGAAGTGTTTGCACTTGTTAATGCGCCGGCACTTCAATGCCCCGATCTCGGAGCTCCGATCTCTGTTCTCCACGCCCCCCTCTGGAGTAACATGAGGAGCAGTAATATCAGCAACATCAGCTTCTTTCGCAACATCAGCTACATCAGTTTCATCAGCTACATCAGCTATATAAGTTACATGAGTTATATTAGCTACATCAGCTATATCAGCTACATCAGCTACATCAGTTACATTAGCTACATCAACTACATTAGTTACAATAGTTACTTCAGCTACATCAGCTATATCAGCTACATCAGTTACTTCAGTTACATCAGTTACATCAGTTACATCAGTTACATCAGTTACATCAGTTACATCAGCTACATCAGCTACATCAGCTACATCAGCTACATCAACTACATCAACGACATCAGCTACATCACCAATATCAGCTACATCATTATCATCTCCCCATCAGCAACACCTTCAAAAGAACACAACGAGTTAGGGCGTGTCACTGGCCTTTAAGAGGCGTGGCTAAAGCCATATCTGTCAGCCATAAAAGTCAAAACCTAAGCTATCTGTAGAATCAGCAGTTGGGATATAGTAAAATAGGGTCTAAGGTGCCTACCGTTTGGGTTGGGTTGGGTTGGTCTGGGCAAAGGCATTCCGGAATTACCTACTGTATATAATTTTGATATTTATCATTTGCCATTATTGGCTGTCATAAATAGTCACTTAAAGGCAAATAAATTTCAAATAATAAATGTTAAAATATACTTTAGATATTGGAAATGACTTTTGCTGATCTATAACTTTATAATTTATGTAACAAAAAAAAAAGACATAAAAATTGTGTAAATTTGTGAAAAAGTCAAAACTTAAATCCCAGCCTAATGTCATAACAATTTATTCAAACTTTGGCAACGAGAAAGGGCCAACTTTGAGGCTTAACCACACGCCCATTTGGCACGCCCACAGAAGGTTATTTTCTTTCGTTTTTCGTTTTTTAACTTTCCTTGGAAAATACTTTCTCTTTCTTTCTTTTCTTTTTGGCCCCTTTAGCAGCTGTTCATTGGGCGCTGTTGTTCTTTTGAGTTTTCCAAACGACTGTCTGGCTTTGTATTTGACTTTCTGGCTCGCCTTCTGGCCTGTTCTTGTTCGTCTACAATTTCGTTGTTCGAGGTTCTTGAATTTCGTCTCACTTGGCGTTAAAAAAATGATAAAAAAAAAAAAATAATAATGATTGGAGAGGGGTGGGGGGGAGGAATTGAATTTCAAGCTGGTCAGAGTGCAAAGAATTCGTGGAATTTTGTGGCATTCCTCAAATATTATTATCACTCATTACTTCTGCTTTTATCTGTAATTACAAAACCAAAACTCAAAGTTCTCCCCCTGAGAACAGTTTTCTTTTTTGCTTAAATTAACTTTATTTTAAGTTTTTTATGTTATTTTTTGAATGTTTTTTTAGGTTAAAGGTAAACAAATAGTAAAATTTCTAAATCAAAAGTTTAGTTTTTCATGCAAAAGTTTATGTTTCGGTTAGGTCTTTGAATTTCTGGGAAAAACAAGCTGGCAAAGCTGATTTTTCTCTATAAAATTAAACAATTTTAATCGCTCATTTAAGAGATTTAATTTACTCACCTTCTCTGCCTTAGAAAACCAACTGCCAGTGATTTGAAAGTTAGACTTCTAACTGGAAAAACGTTGGAATTTGTCTGCAGATATGATTATGCGATTATTGCCCCTGTGGAGTGGAGCTTTTCCAACCACCCGCATGATTTTCTTTCCCTTCTCTCTCTCTCTCTGTACCTCTGGAACGGAAGCCACCAAACAAGCGGGATTCATGGGCACATCATCATTATCATTGGGGCCATTATTATGCATTATGTGTGCCCCGATTACCATCTCCGTTTCTGTCCAATGTTGGTTTCCCGCTGCTGTCCATGGAGGTGGATGGGGGGGGAGGCGGTTGGGGGTGTTGCTAAGGATAAGCGGCGGACTTTACGCAACTCTGGGCCCCCGCTTACATGACCCATCTGTATGATTATGTTCATGTTCATGAATTTGTGTTGAATTGCGAAATAAACGCAACGCGAGAGCGGCAATTGATTATCTCAATTTTACATATTTTTGTAGGGAAATATGCTGCCGAAAATTATTGCACATTTTCAAGGGAATTCAAATGAGGGAAAAGTGTGGGAGGGTTTTCTTTTAGATTCAAATTAGATGTTTGTAAGTTAATATTCTGTTTAGTTAATTTATTAAGAGATAAATATTAAGGACTTTGTGGGTAGTTAAATTGGATTTAATTTGAGTTGGAAAATGAGGAAAACTTGCTTTTGACCCCTTTAACTTTCCTTTTTATGCCTTCATATCTTGGATATATTCATAGTTTTGGTAATTTAATATTCATTATTATTCCATTTTAGGGAAGTTTAGAAGTCTGGGTAGTTAGTTAAATTTGTGTTAATGAGAGCTTTGGCTCTTTTCTTTGCTTAAAAGAAAATCTTTTAGAAATCATAGAGGAAACTTATAGAAAAAACATAATTTCAGCAAATTAAAATGGGAGCTAAGCTAAAGCTAGCTATTAACAGTGATCCAAAAAGGGCTTAAAACATCATGAAGCTTGTAACCATTACCTTGGGAACCGTAGTATTGCGGCTAGTGGAACCCAAAGGACGTGGATATGGCGTAGCCGACGTAGACTGACGCTGTTGGCGGCTGCTTTGATGTTCCTTGATGGTGCTACCCATGCGCTTGGCATCGATCAGTGGGTGTTGAGTAGCTATCCAGCAGGCTGAGGATGCGTCGTAGAGTGGTATTTGATAGAGAGAGAAAGTTTTTGATATTTCATATTTTTTAGTTAAATTTTAATTAATGAGAGTCTCCAGAAAATCATGGAAATATAATATAATAATAATAAAATGGGGAGATAATAATAATAAAATGGGAAAACATGTTTTTAGCAGTGATCAAAAAGTGTAGTTTGGCTTAAAACAGCATCATGTTTGTAAGTTAATATTCTGTTTAGTAAATTTCAGAATTTAAACATTTTTAGCTAACTAAAATGGGGAAAACTTGTATTAAAATTCATTAAAAAAGAACTTTCTAAGCCTTAAAAAAAACATTTTTATAACTTAATATTCTGTTTAGTTAATTTTCAGATAAATTTACTTTAAAGTAGTAAAATTTCTCAAAATTTAAAGCTTCAAGAACATCATAAAACCATTTTCTGTAAACTAAAATGGAAAAAGCTGCCCCTAAAAACTACTTTCCCAGCCTTAAAATAACATTTTTGTAACTTAATATTTAATATACTCAATTTTAGTGCTAAAAAAACTTGTAACTAGTAAAGTTTCCAATTAATTAAATCTTCAAAAAACCCATAAAAATATAAAATAAATAAATATTTAACAATTTCCCACAAAAAAATCTCAAATTTCAAAAGCCAAAACTTCTTTAATTTCCCCTACATTTTCAACTTACTTTCCCCCCTTTTTTTCAGCAATTTAATAAACTTAATAATAATAACTTTTGAAAACTAACTAACTTGTTACAGTTCTAGCCCAACTATGTCTGTGAAAATCTGCTCAACTTAAACAGCTAATACATGAGATAGTTTTGGTTAGTTATTTTTCTCACCCGTGGCTGAAGTTTTCCCCGGCAGCGTCAAAGTTTGTGAAATAGCTTGGAAAATAAGTTTTTGTTGAGCGATGATGGGAACTGACAAACAACTTGATACATTGGCTAAGCACTTGTCAAGGGGGGGTGGTTGGGTATTAGAGATTTGGTTGGAAATTGGAAAAGCAAGGAAAGTAAAAAAGAAAAGCTAGAAAATCTCGAAACTAGATGTTAATTAAAAGCGACGACAAATTGAATCAAACTTGGGGGCCTTGCACGATTTTCTCAATATCTATTAGAATCTAGCACTAATTGTTTCCTCACTTTTAGACATATAGATATATCAAGATATATACTATATAGATATATATCTATAGCTCTCTCTCTCTCTCTATCTTGCTGAGCGACTGAAAGCCAGACAAATAGCCGCCAACGTTAATCGATGAGAGCGCAAAGGCAGGCAGCGTAAAATAAAACTTGAAATTTATCACCGAAAGATTCTTGAACTCGTCACTAAGGTCGTCAACTGTCCCCTGATCAGTCCCCCCTCCTTTAAGTTTACCTCTGTCTCCTTCTCTTCCTTCTCCTTCTCCTCCTCCTCCTCGATCAGAACTGGTATCTCGGTGTGTGCTGACTGATTGTTTGACTGATTGATCGCCCGATCATTGATTGATTAACTCAAGCTCTCGCGCTCGCTCTTGCTTTTTTTCTTACACAAAGCGAAATAAGCTTTGTTAGTTTTTCATTTTCCAAGCATTATTTGGTAGTTAGTAAAGCTGTTTAGCCAGAAGAAGGCTAAACTAAAGTTTAGTCATGAATATTAACTTAATTTAACTTAAAATTTCCCTCTTAACAAAGTTTTTCTTTAATAATTTTCTCTCTATCTATCTCTCTCTTTGTTTAACAGTCATGTGGCAGCCATGAGGTGGCAGCGTTTTAATCGCTGCCAGCAGCTGTTATTATGCCCGGCCACTTGTTGCAGGCATTCATGATGCAACAACAACAACGGCTGCAGGCGCAACAGTCAGCGGCGCAACGAACTCGACTCAAGTCTTTGGCTTGCTTTGACCACAAGAAACACTCATACGCCATGTGGCCGCTAGGCGATCGGTGGATGTTGCATGAAAAGCAGCCAACAATAATAATAATAATAATAACAAAAACAACAACAGCAGCAGCAGCAACGGGCGCCACTTTGGCCCACGGCCAAGGCTAAGGCTAAGGCTAGTGCTATAGCCACACAGCACCATTATTATTGCCAACATCAACAGCAAGGACAAGCAGCAGCAGCAACAATATATTGATAGAAACAACAACAACTACAAGAAGAAGAAGAAGAAGAAGAAGAATTACAACAACAACAACTACGACTACAACGTTAACAGCCTGAACTGAAACATCAAGAAAAGTTGAAGAATTCCGTTGAACTCGCAGGAAACAAAAGCAGCAAGAAAATGTCTGAGGTAAGGTTAACATGATAGTTACAGAGAGAGAAAAAGGGGGTATAAAAGATTAGAAATAAGAAGTTAGAAAGAAAGAAAAGCTAACTTTTATGATAAATCAAAGAAATTTAAGATAAATCCTTACAGAAAGTAAAAATACGAATACGAAAAGCCAGATTTTCCCTCTAAGACTTGCTTGTTTTTCAAACTTAATGATTAAATTTGATATATTTCTTAGAGTATAGTTAGATATATATCCCAGTCTGGCTTTAAGGATGATTAAAGGAGCCACTGAGTGTGGCTCTTTGAGGCTCTGCCTTTGCCTTTGCCTTTGCAGAAGAAGACGACGACGACGACGGGGGTCAGCATTTCCATTTTTATTGAATTAAAATCGATTTTCAGTTTATTTTATCAAAAGACTTAAGAGCATCAAACACATTAAAAGCAAAAAACCGCAAACACACACACATACTTAGCCATAAGAAGCTTTTCATGAGCAGGATGTGTGCCAGAGTGTGTGTGTGTGTTTTCAGGGTGTAGAACAAGAAGAAGAAGAAGGAGAAGCTCTTTTCACATAGCAAGTCTTGAACTATAAACTTATCTAGAAGACGATGCTTGACAAGGGGAATACTTGTAACATACAAGTTAGATAGAAATCAAATGGCTGAAAGTTTATCAAAGAAAAACAATCTTTGAAGTTGTTTTTTTTAAATATTTTTTAAAACTCATTTAAACATTAGTTGATAAAATAAAAGAAAGTTAGAGGAAAGTAAGGGGGGAAATGGGTTTCTTGAAGGGGTTTTTAAAGGTTTCTTAGAGGTTTCCTAAAGGCTTCTTACCAGCTTCCGATTTAATGATAGATTTTCATATAACATCTCCTTAAACTTCACTAATTTTCCTCACTTTTCCCACTGCCCTATCGGTTCTTGACCTTTAGCTAGCTTTGCGGTTTCAAGATTATTTTCGTGCTGCGTTCCTTGGGCGGCTTTCGCATTTCTTTCACTTCCTGCTGGCATTTCCCGCATAGGCATTTGAATTTTGGGTCACTGACGTCGTCGTCGTCGTCGTTGTCGTCGTCGTCATCGTCATCAACGTCTTCTCCGCTGCTGCCTCATGTTTATGGATGTATGCGTGGCTATATGGCGGCTATATAGTTATATAGAACATACCTATACAGGGTAGGGTGGTTGGGTAGGTGGGTAGTAGAGCATCGTGAGCAACAGGCGGCAATAACGACTGAGTCGAGCAGCTGTCGCCATAAACAAGCACGGACGGACCCCACCACTCGCACACAGACATAAATATTGACCTAATTTGCACCTGTTTACAAATTCATTCGAGCCACTGCTGGAGCTCAGGAGCTGGCTGTTTGCGTGTATGTGTGTGTGTGTGTGTGTGGGCCACCCTACCTCCCTACCTCCCTACCCTCTCCCCTAACCCACTGTCACTTCCATTTCGCGTCCTGGCAGGACTTTGTGCTTTTGGCGCATGATTTATGCAGCAAACGGAGCGCGACAACCTCGACGGCGTCTCCATCGCGAGCGTTCCTAAGTGGGTCGACCATGTCCACAGCCACATCTACAGGCACATCCATATCCATATATCCACATTCACATCCTCATCTACATCCACGTCCAAGTCGCAAAGAAGCCAAGCCCAGGCGAATTCAACATGCCAAGCTGCATGAACGTGTTCTGGCACTGAGAGAAAAAACTAAAAGAAAAGGGGTTAGGAAAGGGAGTAATCACAAAGTAACCTCTTTCTTAGATTTTCATTTTACTTTCCTATAAATAATTCCATTTCCCATAAGAATTTCTCTCAGTGTTGTTGGCTTCTCGGTCAGAGATTGCTGGCTGGCATGTTATTAGGTTGAATATTTGCATTTTCAACCCGCTTGTTGAAGGCGAAACTTTGCTGCGGGAGCAACAAATTTTCAAAATGCGAATTTCGATGTTTTTCAACGCTGGCTTACGCGGCGTATGCTTGATCTGCTTGAGGATGACAGGGGAAAAGTCCCAAAAAGAGAAAAATTAGGAAATCATAGGTTAAAATAAGTGGAAAGGAAGGACTAAACAGGGTTTTTTGTTAGATGAAATCATAAAATATTGTAAACCTTCAACCTGGCTTACGCGGCGTATGCTTGATCTGCTTGAGGATGACAGGGGAAAAGTCCCAAAAAGAGAAAAATTAGGAAATCATAGGTTAAAATAAGTGGAAAGGAAAGACAAAACATGGATTTTTGTAAGATGAAATCATAAAATATTGTAAACCTTCAACCTGGCTTACGCGGCGTATGCTTGATCTGCTTGAGGATGACAGGGAAAAAGTCCCAAAAAGAAAAGAGTAGGAAATCATAGGTTAAAGGAGAGACTTAATTTGGTTTTGAGTAGAAGAAAATCTTAAAATATTCTAAACTTTTAAAATATAAAATGAAAAATGAAAATTATAGAAAATTTCCTTTTAATAAGCAAGTTAAAGTTGAGCCACTTGATAAGCAAGCTTGAAAATCATTTCCAGTTGGCCAAATGTTACTCCTCCGCCATCAGAAGTGAGTTAATCTCGGAGAGAAGAGCCTGAAATTGAGATACTTAACTAACTTTAATTGGCCAGTGCACCCGTTGCGGATTAGGACCACTCGAAACGCGATTTAATCGAGGGCTTAATGAGTGCCTTGGTCATTTGCCTCAACGACCAAGACGACGACGACGATGATGATGATGATGATGGCGTCTGGCAATTAGGCCGATTTGCCGATTTGCCATCAACTTGTCCTCGTCCCTGACATTGACCATTGAATTATCCTCATCTTCTTAAGCCCACAATCTAGATCCTTCGGTTTTTGGGATGTCATGTCCAATCCCATTTCCACACTCCTTGGTTGGTGGTTATGTTCAGCGTCATCATCGCTGCTTGTCTTTGACAGCTCGAATCTCTGTTGTTGTCCGGGCATTGATTTCCCTTGATTGATGCGTTTTTAATGAAGGCGGTGGGCCAGGCCAGGCCAGGGCCAGGTGCTTGGAATCATTAGCGCGATTTGCCACCACTTTTGCGTCATTTTATTTTGTTTCTTTTTCTCCGTCTTGGCCAGAAAGACAGGGGCAGGCAGTTCTGATCCGCAATAAACTAAATGAAAAATAAATAGTCAATAACAATCAGGGATGGGATGGGGGTGGGGTGGTGTGGTGTGGTGTAGTTGGGCTGAGGACTTTGGGTAACCAGAAGAGAGACGACTGCTAGGAAAGTGTCGCAATGTCGTGGCCTGAAATTGACACAGCACTAAAGTTACGGCGAGCAAACAAAAGTGGCCAACAAGCAGCTTCGTGGGGGGAGGTAGGCTCTAGGAAAAGGCAGGGGGAAAAATGGGTGGAAAATAGACAAACTGGATGGCAGGACAGACGACTGGACAACTGGTCATGTACACAAACCCAAGGATGTATGCCGTGTATGTAGGGAAAAGAGGGAGAAAAGGGGGAGAAGAGAGACAAGGACCTGCGCCTGCAAGTATGCCATCAAAAATATTGTAATCACACACTATGCTAAAAAAGGGAAAACAAAAAAAGGGAGCAACATGCTACATGACACGTCTCCCTGCCAGTTTGTCATTTTCCACATTTCCACATTTCCACATGCACCACGTGCTAGTCCTGCCCTGGCAGTCCATTTGCCAAAACCAACCAACAAAACCTGTGAAGGGGGTAAACAAATTAGTGAGTGTACTAGAAACAGGACAACGTTTAACGTTTTACAAGGCAGTTTTTAATATGAAGTTTTGTCTGGGGGGGTGACTTATTCGTTTTTTTTAGATAATATATAAGTTTTTAAGGTTTTTTTTGTCTATGCTGGCTAGAAGGGGATAGCTACAACCTTGAAATGCTGCGTTATTTTGCATCTAAAGACATAATTCGAATTTTAAGATTTTTGGGTGTAAATGCAGTTTGCAAGGAAATTCAATAACGATCACAACGAGGTATTGCATTCCTTATGCTAACCATTATTGGCTTTGTTATGAACTGTCATGTAATACTGTAATTTTAGGGGGAAAATAAGGGGGGAACCCTAAGTTAGCATTTTTGATAAAGGAAATAATAATAATAAGGGAAAAATGGGAAACATTACAGTTCGTCTGGAATTTTAACTACTCGTTCTTCTTCTCTGCTCGTTTAACATTCTATTTTCTGACTATTTCTAACTTCGTTGTGGTAAGAATTTGGATTATTTAAGGGCAAGAATCAGGATCAGGATGAGTTCTGGCAGAAAATGCAATCTTTTTTATCGGCTTTATACCTATAACTTTGTCAATATAAGTCTCACAGCTAAAGCAAAGACTGTTTTGTGAAGCCAACGAACGAAATAAACTTTTCTCCTCATTCGTTTGATGATTTCCGAATTTGAATTTTGGACGCTTTCTTACAATTTTTGTACATTTTTTGCTACATTATTAAAATTTACGAAAAATTTCAAAATTTTTACTTTTCAAGGTGTGAATGCAGTTTTGTTGGCAATCAAATTACGAGCTTAACGAGGTATTGCATTCCAAGATTGTACCATTATTGGCTTAGTTATGGGCAAAATACTTTCAGGTTGAGGCGTTCATTGGGAGAAGTCGATTTTCGCATTTTTGACAAGGGGTACCATCATCCCAATTTCCATAAACAGGCCGAAGTTTTACCTTTTCAACTTTGAATGCAGATTTAATAAGATCAAAAAGACAAACTTTTCGAGGTACTACATTCTATATTTGGACCATTATTGGCCAAGTTATGAGCAAAATGCTGTAGAGTTTGGAGAACCCCAAAATCGCATTTTCGATAAGGGGTATTATCATCCAAATTTGCGAAAAATGCCTAAATATTACTTATTAAGGTGGGGACACAGATCTACTCGAAATTAAAAAACAAACTCAACGAGGTATTATTATTCATGATCCTAACATTATTGGCTTGGCTGTGAGGAAAATACTTTCGTTTCGAAGGAAAAATAGGGACTAGTCAAACTGCATTTTCGATAAGGGATACCATTAT